TAATAGAAGTGTCAGAGATGAAAATAAATTAGTAAAATGTATATGAAAACCTTCCTCCTGTCAGAGTCTGGGTCTCACCAGAGGACCCAGAGAGTCAAGTCCCCGCCCACCCACACACCCCTCAAAATCACGTGAGACCCAGACCAGGCTGGCCCCCTCCTTGGGGTAGATCCAGTCCCACCCTTGTCAAGCCCTGTAGGCAGGGGGTGTAGCCTCAGGTTCCCTGGCCTAGTGCCAGGATGGGAGGCATGGCCTGAGGTCCCCCAGCTCAGACCGGGGTGGGGAGCATGCCTTGATGTCCTCCATCAAGCCCCTCCAGGTGGGGGGCATGGCCTTAGGTCCCCTGTCAAGCCCCCCTAGGCAGGGGCTCTGCCCAAGTTCCCCTGTCAAGCCCAGCCAGGTTGGGGGGCACAGCCTCAGGTCCCTTGGCCCAGTGCTGGGGCAGGGGGTATGGCCTGAGGTCCTGTCAAGCCCCACAGGGGTGCGGGAGGGTGTAGCCTCAGGTCCTTGCTGATTGCACATTAAGGCTCCTTACGGGAACTTGGCCTTAGCTGTGGGTGCAACCATATTTGTGATGGAGTGATGGTCAATTTGCATATTACTCTTTTATTAGATAGGATTGTACCGTGCCTAAGGCACCAGAATGCCTGCTGGGAGAGACTGTTCTCATGTGGGACAGTGAAGTGACAGAGACCAAAGGCCTCTTTACAAAACTCACTGGATCTATGGGGACCCAAGACACCCATGCATGTTTACCTGGTGAGCCTGCCAGAGAGTCCCCTCTGCTGAAGGCGAAGGTACGAGACACAGACACGGGCACTAAAGGGTCAAGGGCCAAGGATTTGTGAGTTGTGAAGGAGAAGATAAACACAAAAGGAGAGAGACAAAGAGTGGTGAGACAGTCTGTTCCTGGATCTTCAAAGCATCACAGTTCTCTGCAAAAGGAAATTGTGCCTCTGAAAACATGGAGATCGCACACTCTCACAAAGTCACTCTCCAGAAAGAGGGAAAGGAAATACTTTTCTGAAGGTCTTCCAAAAAGATGTAGAATACTTTTAGAGGGGAGACCTGCCAAGGACAAGGACCACAGTTCCCCAGTGGGGAGTGTGCATCAGCAGAGCATTCTCTCTGAGCCTGCAAGTCTGCTGGGAGCCCAGCACTGCATTCCCACCAGGTGCTCCCAGCTGCCACATGCATCTGTTCACCGACCAGAGGACTGAAAGCAACATGCATGCTCCTGCTAGGGGCATCCGTGAGGAAGCTGGATCCTGCCTGCGACTCCTAGGAGCTCCCTCTGGGGAGGAACTATGTGCTGCTAGAGGCTTGGGGAACACGAATGGCAGGCAGCATTTCCAACAACCTTAATGTGAATCAGCTTGGTGAATGAACTCATTGTCACTTCTTAGCAATTACAAGTGCTCCAGAGCACCTCCCTCACTGTCCCCCTTCCTTCTCTTTCCCCCCACAGGGTCTGAAATGGTGCTGGCCATCACTTGGGGCCAGGGTGTGGTATGGTGTGTAGCAGTGTGTAGTCCTTCCCCACTCTTGACTCTGATCAAGTGGTGTTTCTGCATGGGGATCTGTCTTCACCTCTCTTATATGGTCATTTGAGTCCCTTCCAAGGAGTTAAATGAAGCCAGTCTGTAGGTGATGGCACATCAGAGTCGGCAGCTTCTGCAGCATCAGATGATTTTACTGAAAGGACCCATAGGTGCAGGGGAGTGTGTGTGTGTGTGTGTGTGTGTGTGTGTGTGTGGAACCCTATATCTGGAGCCCTATAGCTGATAATCATTTACTCTGATACGCGATATCAAAGAATACTTGAACAGGCCCTTAATGTCCTGAGATACATTGGAATAAGAAACCCCATCGTCTCAAGAAGAATCGTAACACTTCTGGGCTGCAAATTAAATGCATACCCTGGCCAAGCAATCAAAGATGCATTCTTTCCACCTGCCCAGTCCTGTGGGCTGTTTTTCTGGCTACCCTGAGCTCAGGCCCAGTTCCTCCAGAGCGCCAGGTCCTCCTGGGCTCCTGGCCATCGGCACCCAGATAAAGGAGACAGTGCAGGCTCTGTTCCCTTTACGCTGCACAGGAAAGCCAGAGTGACTTACTTGTAACCTCGAGTTCAACTCTGAGGCCTTGGTCACGGGCAGTGTTCTGGCAAACTCATCATCCCATTAATCACCTTCAAAGGCTGATAGAACTACAGGCTAGCTTCCAGGACAGGAACATTTTGCTTAAGTGAGATCCTAAAAGAGTTTACTGCCTTGTGGTTCAGCCTTTAGCTCTCCCTTGACCTACAAGCAAAGGTTCTTGGCCAGTGAAAGATGCTGGGTGGCTGGACCAGGGGCTGAAAGTCCAGCAGGGACAACTGTAGGGTGTGGCCCAAGCATGTCAAACTCACAGTATGCGGCCCACAATGAATATGTGTGCAGCCCATTCAATATAACGGTATGCAAGAAACATTTTAATAAAAGTTTCATACCTTAATTTTTACAATATCCTGTTATACATAATTATTAATAACAAACTACAATGTTTGCTAATGACTGATTACTATAATTGTGTTGCATTCATTGCCCTTATGGGCCTTATGCACAGGTGCACCATTTCTCTCCACTAATATACTAACAGCAAATATTTTAGCAGCTGACTGCTATGCCATTAGTCATGGACTGACTTGTTTGGTGTGCACGACAGGACATATTTCACTTTCGGAGAACAAGAAAAATAGGCTTATTTGTGTTACGCTTATTAACTTGTGCAGTTATTCAGTGTCTGTTAAGTTAATGTTCAAGAAAAAAAAATTAATTTTTATTAAAATGTTCTATTTTATGTTAATGATTACTCATTATTTCAGCCTTTTGTATTCAGCAAGTCTCTATTGAAATAAACCTACATTCCTATGAAAATTAAAGCTTTTGTTTTTTTTGTGGCCCACATAAACTTAAACCTTGTTTATTTGGCCCATGTTAGCCTTTGAGTTTGACATGCTTGGTGTGGCCGGTCTTTGGAGTTATTTCACACTTCACTCCACTAAGTGGAGAGGGCTTGGGGGAAGATGGAAAATCTCTCTACTAGTATACCCCTCACAGACTAACTCAATTTTTTTTTCTCCTGAAGATTTTTAAAAAATATATATATATTATTGATATTTTACAGAGAGGAAGAGAGAGGGATAGAGAGTTGGAAACATCGATGAGAGAGAATCATCGATCAGCTGCCTCTTGCATACCCCCTTACTGGGGATGTGCCCGCAACTAAGGTACATGCCCTTGACCGGAATCGAACCCGGGACCTTTCAGTCCACAGAATGATGCTCTATCCACTGAGCCAAACTGGTTTTGGCTCTCCTGAAGATTTTTAAAGATGCTCAAAAGTGGGGAAAGGGAAAGAGTGTAATGCTTCCTTTTAGTTAACCAGTTCTGAAGGAGAGACCTGTGTTGCAATTGTACTCCCGTCCCTTGATAAAACGGAAGGATTCTGATAAAAAAAAAACTAGAGACAGACACGAAGGAAAGGAGAAAATCAGATAACATCTCTCTACTACTTTAAACAATATATACTTTTAAAATGTCATTTCAATTAGGTGGGCTGGGGAGTCATAATTATACTCTTCCCCCAGAGTTCCCACCTCTTTTGGTTCTCTGGAAGAGCCAGAACAGGGCCAACAGGTCTAGGTAAGATTTAGAATCCCAGAGGTTGCTCTACATTGGGCAATGTGATGGGTTGGCATCTCCTTTAGAGAACCAAGTCTGGTCCCGGAGCACACCCCTCCCCCACCCAGAGTTCTCACTCTGAGTATGAGGCTTCCTCCATCAGCCTTACTTGAGGTTCACTGGCCTATACAAGTATACTAAGGAACCAGGGTTTATTTTACAGCTCTCCTTTAACTCATGTGGGGCCACCCCTGGGTGTGGGTAGCTACTCTCATTTCATTTCAGCCCTCTGCTGGCCTAGAATGTGAAATTATACCATAAATGGTTCCAATATTCCCACATAGAGATTGCATTCTGGAACGTGAAGGATCTCCAATCTGTATTTCATTGTGCTGTGTGCAATAGTTAGGGCACCGGAATGCATCTATGCAAGTCACCAACTTGCTAGGTGATTTGGAGCAAGCCATTTCTTTGGTTTCCCCATGTTAAAACAGTATCCGTCTTTCATGTGCCAAGGATTGATATCCAGCGTTGGGACCCTCTGAGAAATGCAATATAAAACACTACGTAAAACGCTTTTTATGATAAGAGAAAACACTCCATTTGGCATTAAAATCGCCACTTTAAACAAGAACAGCTGAAAGCAATGCAAAAGTCAGACCAGTGAGAAAAAAAAAAAAAAAATCTAGAGAAATCATTCTTTCAGCATCACACATCACAATAAATGCCATGCCTTCTAAACACCAGCACAACAATTCCCTATAGGAAACAGCAAGTAGGTAAAGCATAGAAGTGCCTTAGCAAACCAGCTAGCAGCCTGGGCCAGCCCTCACCGTCAGCATGCACGACCAGCTGGTAGATACCGCTCCTCCAGCGGAGGAGATGTGGCAAAGGAGGAGAGAAGCAGATAAGCAACGTATCGCACCAGCCTGGGATGTCCATCCCCAAATCTTGCAGTCACTTCACAATACGGCATATTACGTTCTCAAGCAAAGGCCAGAGGGTGAGTCATCACCGCAGAGAAGGAAAGGCCGGACCTCCACCAGAGCACACAGGTGTGTGACAATAAATGGCACCTCCCCTCACCACCTCCCTCCCTGCCATCCATCACGGTACATGAGCAGAGCAGCAGCAGCAAACATTCCGGACACGGAAAACAAAGCCCGTGTGGCCTGTGAGTACCTGGCAGGAAGAGTGTTCCTGGCAGAGCATTACAGAGAGGCTGCCAGCATTTGTGTTAGCCCCAGCCCAGGCTCAGAGGGCTGGTCCGGGTGCCCAGAGCGGGCTGAGGCAGGACTACGGCGGAGAGCATGAGGGAGGGGTTTGAGAAATACATACGGAAGGCAGAGGATCCAGTCAGGCTTCCCACCTTCCGCACATCATTATCTGAGGACAGAAAGAGGCAACGTGTTTCAGAGGCAGCTCAGACAGTGTACCTTCTTAGGGAGGTGCTCCCTCTCCCACCCCACCCCCAGCACCCGTGGACTCGGAAAACAACAACACAACGCACCGGACAATAAAATGGAAGTGTAAAAAGAAGAACTAACTTGTCTTTTCACACTGAAAAAAGACCACTATCCATCCCTAACATTTACTAACATTACTGTCTACTATGTACTTCCACAAACAAATTCTCTGAATGAAAAATGAGTCTTATTACCACTTCAGAGAGGAGGACACCACTGCCCAGGAAGTTACAGGGCTTGCCCAGGGTCTCGAATAGGAGCAAAGACTTGAACCCAGCTGCTTTTTTACTGCAATATCCCTTTGCTTCCCCAATAAGCTATGGAGTGGGAACTGGAATACCTGAGCAAGAAGTGGTCATGATGGCGGGGACACCATAGTAGGTGAAGGCTCCATTCTCGAAGCGAAGGCCTTCCTTACCAACCTCCACCTCCACTTTCCCCTGGAGAGAGAAGGCAGTGTGCTAAGGGTGTGTGCACGCACTTCCAGGTCTCTTATTGACCACAACCCTGAGCTTCTGTCCGGATAACAAGTGGACTTAAGAGCTGGTCACAGGGAAATGGGAATTCTGTCCAGATTTACGTTTCAGAAATAGCACTGCCAGTGTCAGTAGCCCTTTGCAGTGAGTTAATTGCCTCATTCCTAAAGCTGAATCCAGTCACGAATAACCCCGAGCTCTCCTAGCATACTGCAATGGCCCTTCCATGATGCATGCCCAGGCACCCGTTGGCCCAGGGCCCTATAAACGGACTCAATGGCTTGTTCTGAGATGAGACCATCTCTAAATCTGGTTGAAATAAAATCTAATTCTGATTCTGTGTGAAGCTTGTTTAACCCATCACCACTAAGGACAGCAGCTTACGTGTAGCATACAGTGTGGTCTGTGGGGCTGACACTGTGTTATGTGCTCGGCATGGTTTCTCACTCAATCAGTCCCACGGCCCTATGTAGCCCATCCTGCCTTCACCTCCAGTTTATAGATGAATCAATTTTGAGGCTCAGAAAGGTTAAATCACTTGGTCAAGGTGAGTCAGGAAGCGGCAATATTGGAATTTTAAGGCCAGATCTTTCCAATATCTGAATTTACACTCTTGCCACGACATTTTACTTCCTCCAACTTTGATTTAAAAACAGTTTATATTAAGCACAGAACAGTACATTGTATGGGTCATTACGTTATTTAAAAAGTGTGACAGAACCCTTCTTGATTTCCAACAGCGAAGAATGTGACCCCATTTTTTGGAGAAGGTCATTTTATTGAGGTTATATGGAAGAATGGGCACGTGGCACACTATCGTATCAGAGCAGATGGAGTGCAGGTGGGCAGACAAAATAGAGCCCGCTTGTAAGTTACTGTAAGTTTGGTTATGATTTTAAGCCAGTCACTGTATTTAGGGCTCAGAAGATATTGTTGGGAAGAGAAGGGACAGTGACAGAGCTGATGGTGGAGCCAGGCCAGGGCACCAGCAGGATCCAGTGCTGAAACCACACCTGGCACGGATTTGCAGGCCTATCCAGGCGCAAGGGCAGAGGTGAGGACTGGGACGATGCTGCACAGCTCTCACTCAGCCATTGGCTTCCTCCCGTATCCCCTTAAAGTGGAGGCATCCAGGCACAGCAGAGACTGAGACCTTTCCGAGAGAGTGCATGTGTTCTGTGCACCTCCAGGCGGAAGTCAGAGATGATGAGATTTCAGACAGACAGATGGAAAAGCTTTAAGAGTGAAGTGTCTGAAGCTTGAGAGAAGGCACGGGACAGGTCCACTCCTGGGCGTGTCCATGCAGAGACAAGAAGGGGTCAGGGGTCAGGACAGCAATTTTGAAAGCTCAGTCACAGAGCCCCTCTGCTGGAGAGGTACGTGCTGCACCCCACCACAAACACCCCTGAGTGGTCAGACTAAACGCCCTCACGGTTCCCCCACTCCTAGGACACCAACCAGTCGAACTTGGCCCCTTCTGAGGGTCACTGACAAACACCCACCCTCCTGGCCTTGCCCCCAGGACATCCCGCGGAGTGTTGGACCCAGCAGTGGGGAGACACGGCCATCCTCTCCAGCCCAGGGAGGCCCGTGTCGTGTCCGCAGAGGGACTTGAATGCTCCCACGCACCTGGAGCAGCAGCACGAAGTAGTCCACCGGGCGGCTGCGCTGGTAGAGGTAATGCTCCGGGGCTTTCTTGTTCTTGTCGTCAAACTTCAGCTCCTGGATCACGTTGGGATGTTTCAGGAGCCGGAGCAGGATCTTTTCCGAGAGGTACAGAGACTTGAAGGGTTCCACTTCTGGGGGAGAGTGGGAGGCAGGAAGAATTGGCAGCTGGCTGGGGTCAGGGTGGGCACAGCCAGGCCACGTGTCTGGAGCCACCTCCATTCGCACTCTAGGCATGAGGCTGGAAGGACTCTTGTGACTCTCTCAGGTGTGTGTGTGTGTGTGTGTGTGTGTGTGTGGCCTTCCCCTGCTCCCTGGGGATGTGTGTCCCTGTATGGCACCTCAGAAGAAACAGGCCACCATTTTGGAAATGTTAGTTTTGTTATTAATTTCTTACTTGATTTTATTTAAAGCTGCATGTGAACTTAAAAAAGAAGGCACTTTTTCCCCCATGGGCATGGCTCAATGGTTGAGTGTTGACCCATGCACCAGTAGGTTGCTGTTTTGATTCCTGGTTAGGGCACATGCCAGGTTTGTGGGCTCAGTCCCTGATGGGGGACATGCAGGGGGCAGTCAGTCAATGTTTTTCTGTCATTGATGCTTTTGTCTCTTTCTCCCTCTCCTTCCCTCTCTCTCTGAAAAACCAATACAAATATAGTAAAAAAAAAAAATTTTTTTTTAAAAAGAGGCAATTTTGCCATTTGTGACAACATGGATGAACCTGGAGGACACTATGCTAAGTGAGATAAGCCAGACACAGAAGGACAAACATTGCATGATATCACTTATACGATGAATTTAAAATAAACTCAGAAGCAGAGGACAAAAAGGTGGTTGCCTGGGGGAGTGGGAGGGAGATGGAAGGGAGGGATTAGTCAAAGGGCACAGAGTTTCAGTTATGCCAGATGAATAAATCCTAGAGATCTATTGCACAGCACCGTGCCCACAGTGAACAATACTGTACTGTATACTTAGAAGTTTACTCAGAGGGCAGATCTTATATTAACAGAGAAAAATAACAATACAGTGGGAGGAAAACTTTTGGAGGTAATGGACAAATTTATGGCATAGATGGTTTCACTTATTTTCAACACATCAAATTGTATACATTAAATATGTACCATTTTTTGTATGTCAATCATACCTCAATAAAGTGGTTAAGAAAACAAAAGTTGGGCATGGCTAAGTAAGCATGTAAACAGCAAAACCTTTACTGCAATGATCAAGTGAAATACAGAGAATTTAATCTGACTTGAGACATATATATGTTGAATAAAATTCCAAGTTAAGAGAAATGATAATTATTTAAGTGATATGTTCTCAATAATGTGTAGCATCCTTGCATCAAATAACAGATTTTATATTACATTATATCATACTATAATATTAGAAGATACAGCTGCTTTGCTCTAGGAAATCCATCAGCAGTTAAAAGAAATCTGTATTCAGAACTAGATAACATTTTGAAAACTCTAAAGAATTGCAACATAAACTTTTCTACTTTTTTTTTTTAACACCTGGAATAGTACCAGTATTCATAATATAGTCAATAATCATATGCTGGATCAACTAAATATTGAACTTTATAATGGGTGTGCATCTGAGGTCTGCACATTAATTAGGTCAGAGGGTTCAAAGACCAACTTTACCTTCTTCACAAGTTTATCTTTGGATCCTCTCACTTCTTTTTCTTTCTAAAGATCCCAAGATTCACAATCCACTTCCATATTTTAAGAACTCCTACCACTCTATGGTCTCTGGAGGGTACTGGACCCCAGGGTCTTGTTGTTGATTAGAACAATGCCTTTCCCTCCACCACAGATCACTGGGGTACCCCAAATCCAACAGGATGGAGGTCAGCCTCTGTCTCCCACCAAGAAGTGAGTGGAGGAGGGAAATGTGCAGCAGTGGATTCTCTAGCTTTTTTTTTTCAGTAGAAGACCAATCAGCAGAGTTGGGTTGTATTCACTCCCTCCCAGAAGGTCAGGCGGAACCCCAGGGGCTGGCACTGACAGTATGTGGCATCCTGTCACCCTTGCCTGAGGCAGTCTCCTCTCCTGGAACAGTGGTTCTCAGTGTTACACTGGAATTAGGTCACAAAGTATTAAAAATGATTGGTGCTTGGGTCCCACCCTCCAGGTTCCGCCTGGGCTGGAGACACGGTGGGCAGTCATACCTGTGGCCATGAAGCGGTGTGTGGCCAGCAGAAGCTGCGGGGAGACCTTCACTCTCATCTCCGAGTCAGAGAGCTTAAACAAGGAGAAGTCATGCCGCTTCCTCTCCCGGTGCGGGACCCTCTGCTTCTTCCGGTTGTCGGCTGTGGATCACAGGGGACAGAGTACAGCTATCTCAGAATCACTGTTGGTTTTTGGAGGTTTTCCCAGAGTTGTGGGGGACAGACAGATTCTCTGAGACCACCTGAATTTCTGCAGTGTCAACTGTAGATGACATGACTATACCTCTCCCAGGGAGTGAAAGGATGTTGATCAGGGACAGAAGGTGAGAGATGCTATAATTGTCTCAGTGTTATTTACCCGTAGGTGTGCATGGTGGAAAAGGGTGGCTTGGGACTCCCAAGGTCAGGGTTCTTGAGCTGGTCCTCCTATTTGTGAACTGTGCAACCTCTTTAAGCATCAGAATGTTTGTTTTAATCTATACAGCCAGGTTAATAATGAATAACTCTTCTCCTCATCTCCAAGAGTAATTATGAGACTTGAACCAGAAACTATCTGTGAAGTACTTACAAAAAGGCATTCAAACATCAGGGACTTCATTCTCAGCGTCTAGAGAGTTGGGAGTCCCAGAGGGTTTGAGCCTCCCTCCGCCCCTCTTCGGCCCCCAGAGCTGGGCTCACCTGGTCTCTTCCTAAGGATTTTAACCACGCTCTGAGCAGAACCGGGGGCATGCCACCCAAAGGGGTCAAGGGTCACCTCCTCTTCCCACTCACAGTTCTCCTGCTTCAACCTTGACCCCTCTAGGGGGAGAGACTTAGGGAGGAGGAGGGATTGCTGTCCCAGGAGCTGAAATTCGGAGAAAACACTTCCTGGTTTAGAGATTCACTTGGATGTATTATAGATAACACTCTCATTCTATTGATAGAGGCAAAGCACTGCCTTTGTAACATTTGCAAGGAAAGCTCTGACAGACTGGGTAACCAAAAGCAGTCATTATCTGCACGGAGGAGTCCATATTGTTCCTGTGGGAGAGTGGGTAGGAAGGTGAGGAGACCAGAAAGGAGAGAGCAGGGACAGAAGCGGGCAGGTGCCAAGGGTGGGAACGGGAGAAGAAACCAGCTGGTAGGGCTGAAAAAGCCTGAGGGAGAAGAGCAATGCGTAAGAAGGGACATTTAAGGTTTGGCTTGGGTTGTGGTACGAAATCTCAGGACAGTTTGCACTGCACAGGAAGTTTTGATGTAAATAGATTGTTGAGTGGGACCCCAGGGTGTATTGGGGTCTGTATCTGGATGGTTAAAGAGACAAAACAGGGATAACACAGGACAGAATCAAGGACAGAGTGGCCGCCTCAGGTATACTTCGTTTTCTTTAGTTCCTTTGTCATCCAAAGGCCAGGAGGTCTCCTTTTCATAGTCTTGGTTCCTGAAGGTTCTGTCCTGATAAACATTTAGCTAGCTCAGCAATTTTCAACCAGTGCACAGCAAGAATTTTTTAAAACATGCAATGCCTGACTACTTAGTCAGGGACACTGACCTTTTTCCCCCTTAGATTATAAAGTTAAAAAATGACAATAGCCAATACAACGTTGCCGTCTGGTGTGAATGAATCAAAATTATTACCTATTTTTTTTTATCAGCTCGGCCCAAAATATAATTAGTTTATGTGTGCCACGAGATGAAAAAGGATGAAAATCATTGAACTAGCAGGTTCTCAAGGACTCAGGTAATTCAAGCCAGGGTACCTTGCCATGCCTGCACCTGGCATTAGGGGGTTGACACACAGAATGCATGGGCCTGATGTCCACTCTTTCACACTGTGTGTCACACTAAGCCAGCTCTGAGAGTCACAGAGGAAAAGAAGATGACCTTGGACCACAGCCAATGCCATGCACTTACTGTAGAGGTCAGTTTCATCCAATATCTCTGACTTGATGATCTCCTCTATGATGTCCTCCAGTGTGACAATGCCCATCACCTCGTAGAAGGGGTCCCCTTCTCCCTCATTATTCACCCGCTGGACAATGGCCAAGTGAGATTTCCCTAGAGAACAAATGAAATCACAGTTATGCATCTGGGATGTTTTCAGAGACCCTTCCTTAGAAGAAAATTATACAACATTGCTTTCTGACTAATCTCAGAACCTCCTTAAAAGGACCACCCCAGGACCTCCTTAAAATACGAAGTTTGTATACAAAGCTTATATAAATGCAAACTAAACTTTTACAACTCTGTTTCTTTTTAGGAAAGTTAACTAATATAAGGGGTTGGCAAAAGTAGGTTTACAGTTTCTCATATGGAAAGAGACATGCAGGTTATGATGATTACAATAGCTTTATTAACTCAGTGTTTTGCGCTCTCACAAGTATAAACCTACTTTTGTCCACTCGGTACACAAAGCCAGTTAAATTTTTCTTTTTCTTTTTTTTTAACTTTCACATATTAGCAAGCACAGTTGACCTTTGGACAATATGGGGGTCAGGGGCACTGATGCCTGCACAGTTGAAAATCCACAAATAACTTTTGACTCTATAGTCCACATGTGTCAAACACAAGGCCCGCGGGCCAAATCCGTCCCGCCAGGCCTTGCAATGTGGCCCGCACCGCGCTGTCATCACTGCACTCCACTGCGTTTCCATCACAATGACAGTTTATGACTGTTCAGTAAACCGTTCGGCCCTCGATTTAGGCTGGATTTTAGATTTTGGCCCCTTCTCTGATTGAGTTCGACACCCCTATATAGTCAGTCCTTTGCATTTGTGGATTCAACCAACTGCTGATTGAAACAGTATTGGGAATGGGAAAGTACTGTTTTTGAGCTGTAGTTGGTTAAATCTGCAGATGCAAAAACCATGTATATAAAGGACCAAATATATTTATTGAAAAGAAAATCTGCATGTAAGTGGACTCATGAAGTTCAAACAAATGTTATTCAGGGGTTAACTGTATATCTAAGCTAAAGGAAGATGAATAGTCTTATTGAAAGACCAAGAACTTGGAGTCAAAGAATTAGGTTAGAAACCTTTTCCTCTTCCAACTTTCCCTATCCCCTATCCCTTAACTATCCCAGTTACTATTTGTGCAACTGATCCTCATCTAATTATTTGACCTCTGTGAGTCTTGATTTTCTCATCTAGAATCAGGGGAAAATACCAGCATGGTGACTTTAAAACATGCCTCCAAATTCTTTGATAGGCTTCCCATCAAAAAGTGTGGTCTCTATGCCCTTCCCTTGAGTCTGAGCAGGTTTCATCTGCTTTAACCAGCAGAGAACAGGGAAGTGTTTGCTATGAGACTTCTGAGGCTAAGCCATAAAGGTCATGTGGTTTCTGCTGCAAAAACACTCTAAGAAGTATGATGACTCTCATGGTGGAGGAACTGCATGTTCCAGCTGAGCCCAGCTTTCCAGCCATCCCATCAAAGTGCCAGCCAGATTTTAGCAAAGAAGCCATCATGGCAGTGGATCTGCAATATTAGTTGATTCAGCTCTGCCTTCAAGTCATCTCCAGCTGCTGGCGTAAGACATTACATAGCTGAGGTAAGCAAGTCCCACTGCACCTTGTCCAAATTCCTGATTCACAGAATAAAATGTACCCATAAAGCATTTTGGAGATCAAATGACCTAGTGGATATGTGAAAGCACTTTGTAAATTGTCACGTGTCACAAGAAGTTCATTTTTATTGTCCAACAACTGAATAATAATAGTTAACATTTATTGAACTCTAACTACATACCAGGCATTGTTCAGAGAGCTTTCTATATATTGATTCATTTTATCCTCATAACAACTCTCAAGATGAATACTATTATTATCCCCATTTTACAGAGGAGAGAACTGAGGCACAGAATGGTTACATAAAATGCCTAAAGTTACACAGCCACTCATAAATGGCAGAGCTGGACTGCAAATCCAGGTAACTGGGCTCAATCCTAACCTAGGGACTGAGTCTTATGTACAGTCTTCCTTCATCTTGGTTTGTTTTCATCTGCTGATAAACACATTTCCTTGTCCTGTTTCTAAAATGGAAACCTGGGTGGTTCTTTTCCTTGTCTAAGAGACATTTCAGGAGAAAATCTAGGGTACTGACTAGGATGTTGTTCTTACAAAAACAAAAAAGAAAAAAAAGAAAAAAAAAAGGAAGTTCATGCTTTATTGGTGTTACTTTTTATAAGCTTTTGCTTGGTCACTGCTATCAGATAAGAGGAGTAGTCAGGTTGCTGGAGGCGTAGTTAACCACTACAATTTAAATACATGAACTTCTGTGTCAAATACTTCTAATCACAAGAAAGCTACCTATTGGAATTTTTAATGGAAAAGATGGCATTTCTTTCAATAATGGTTTATAATTTCTTCTCCACCTTTAACCTATCCTTTAACTTCTCTGCCCTGCTCAAAGCCCTCCATGGCCCCCTAGTGTGCAGAGCATCAAAGCTAGACCATGAGTTTGGTACTATCAAGAGTGTAAAATGTGGCTCTTCCCAATCTTTCTATATTCCAGATTCCCTCTACTTCCTCACCTTCCTCCATCTCCACTTTCTAGGTCACTCACAGTTTCCTCCTCCCATTCCAGCTCCACTGGTCCCTCAAGTTCCAGCTCACATGCCAGCTCCTCAAGAAAGCTCTCCCGGATCTTCCCCACTCTGAATCCGAACCAACCTCTCCTTGCTCGTGTTTCCAAGCCCCTGATAACTCCATTAGAGCATCTGTCGTACACGTTGCTCCTTCTTATAACTAGCAATGTGTGTGTAATGGACTATTTCTTGCCCTCAGATCATCAGCTCCTTCAGGACACTAGACTTAGCTAGGTGACCTCCCATATAACAGGCAGCCAACACATTTCTGATGACCTGTGCTAAGATGGAATAAAAATTCATAGTGGATATAATATATGATGTTAAGACCAGACACTAAAACATTTAAAAAATAAAACATTTACTTTTTGATAAAATATAATGTATTTAAATTAAAATTTAAACTCCGACTTGGTGGTTCTAAAATTATCCTTCTTTGAAACAATTATCCTATCCAACAGGACTGAAGAGTTTTGTAGTTTAACTTAGGCTATACTGATTATTAGAACGTGCTCAATTTAAAGTTTTTTTCCCCACTACACAGTGTTCTTACACTTATGGCACCCGTTCACACTTTTCTGCTAACATATACTAGCAGATGACCAAACAAATAACTACTATAAAGGAAAGACTTGAAAAAGTGATTTCTTAAAATTACTTTCTATAATTGGATAACTTTTTTTGTGGAGCCATATATATATATATATATATATATATATATATATATATATATATATATATATCTCAGCCATACTTCCTGCCACTAAGAGATAAATTCATATATGGGATTAAATAAAATAACATTTTATGATGTTTCACACAAAATACCATAACTTCCATTTTTAAAATCTCCCATTGGTCTACACTTTAGAAGATAAATTTGAGGATAAACTATATGATTACCAGGGAATAGAGAGTTTAAATCCTAATTATGTACTATCAAGACAATGTACTTACCGTATTTTCCGGCGTATAAGACGACCCCCTAATTTTACAGTTAAAACATAGGTTTAGGCCTATATTCGCTGTATAAGACTACCACCCACTTCCGAGGCAACACCAGTTCTTTTTTTAATAGACCGTTCTAGTAAAAAGCCTGCTCAGACTGGCCAGAGTCAGAGAGGCGATCTATTAAAAAAAGTACTGGTGTTGCCTCGGAAGTGGGGGGTAGTCTTTTACAGCGAATATAGGCCTAAACCTATGTTTTAACTGTAAAATTAGGGGGTCGTCTTATACGCCGGAAAATACGGTATGTCATCTACTTAGAAACATTTTATAATCCATGGTTAGCCTTTATGATTTCCTCAAGTGCCTGTGGAGATCACAAAGAAGTCATTCTTTCCTGGGTACAGACTGGAACAGGAATCAACAATCACATAACCCTGTTCTGAGTTGACACTCACAGGGACAAGAAAACCAAATGTTCCCATGACACCCGAACCTAAGGTCCTTCCTTTCTCAAAAAGGATGGCCTTTGAGAGAGACTTACCTCCTTGTACCCCTCCTCTTCCTGGGCCCCAGAAGCGATGGGGATGGCCCAAAGTGAAGCCAGTCTTGAGAGATGGAAAAGTTAGTCACTCCCTCCTGCCACAGCACTTTGAGCATACCTCTTTATTGAAATTTGTAAGTACATTAATAGATATTTTGATTATTGTAGCAGCTACCATTTGCTGTACATACTTTAGGGGCCGGGCACAGTGCTAAACATCAAACACACTTTATTTCTCCATGTTGCTGTTCTCTACTTATGCATGATCTCCCCCCACTCCGAGGCAACAGCTATGTTCTACTTATCTCTGCTTTCCCAGAATCTAGAATAGCACTGGGCATAGAAAGAGAACTCCATAAATACTGGATGATAACTGAGTACTATCTACATGCAAAAGAATAAAGTTGGTTGCCTATGCCACACTACACACAGACATTAATTTGAGATGGACCAAATGCCTAAATATAAGAGTGAAAACTTGAAAACTCTTGGAGAAAAACATAGGAGTAAGTCTTTGTGACCTTGGAGTAGGAAATGGTTTTTTAGATAAGACACCGAAAGTGTAAGTAACCAAAGGGGGGGGGGAGGGGATTCAAACAGGACTTCATCACAATTAAAAAGGGACACCATCAAAAGAAAGTGAAATACAACTTACAGAATGGGAGAAAATATTTGCAAGTCACATACCTGATAGGGAGCTTGTATCCAGAATATACTAAAGAAAATGTACAATTAATAAAAATACAACTCAATAAAAAAGTGAGTAAAGGATGCAAATAAACATTTATCCAAGAAGATAAACAACTGGCCAGCAAGCAATAAATATTGATGAAGATGTGGCTTAAATTTTGACTATTCCCCTCCTCGGCCCTTCTATGAGAACCATGCTCTTTCCGGTTGAGCTGTCCCTCTGTAAATTAGCAGAATTTTTCAAGTGCCTTCTCACAACTATTAGTTCAGTAACTTCAGTTTCCTCCCAAC